ATATAAACATATAAAATCAGAACTTTTTCCCCTCCTAAAAAACCAAAGAAGCTTTGTTTGCAAACAGATTTTTTAAAAAATCTAATTGGGGATTTGGGGGAAAAGGAATCATAGGTTATTAGCATAATGTATGCATTATGTCTGCTCAGAAATAGGCTCCCCTGAATCCCTCCCACCACCCTTTAGTGCTCCTTTTTACTTTCCCCAACAAAACCCCCCTGAGCAGGTTGGATTCAAGACATCAGAACTAACCCTTTTCCTCCTATAACCACTGCAAAGAAAATTGCATCCCACACCAGAGTGGACAACTATTTAATATCACTTTCCTCATATCTCTATTAAAGCAACTTTCCTAAACCCAGTGCTGACATTCAGCTCTTACATATAATCCCCAAACTAGGGTTTATGGTCTTTGAAAAGCAGTGCACATGGGTGATAATCATACAAAATGTGTACGACTGCTTTCAGAACTCACCAAGAAGCAGATTCTGTCCTCATGGGCACAGGATTTTAGTTCTCCTTTGGATCCTTTCTAGATTTAAATTGCTTAAACAAGCCCAACACAGCTTTGTCAAAGGCCCTACAGTCCAGCTAACAGGTAAATTGAATTTAAATCCAGGTCTCTTAAGTAAGTTTGCCAAGTGATCAAGGGAAAAAGGGAGTTTAGTTACCTCAGAAGTCTATAACACAATCACTACTAAAGTTTGCACATTGCAATCTTGTTAGGAAGGTACTGCTACAGTACAGCTTCACAGCCTGGGAGCTCTACTTCTTGGGTGCAAATCCAGCATTTTTATTCTTTAAGATGCAGCAGGTCTCATCCTACCTGGGCTAAGTCCAGTCCTGGCTTGGGTTGTGTTCATCACATAACCATCTGGCTCAAAGCAAAAATCACTCAGTCCCTAAGGGGGCAAAAACAGAAGTCTACTTTTACTGCAGTGCATTCAGTTGCAGTCAATATCCATGAAGAAATGTGCACTACAGAAGGTGATGTCTCAGGCAGCCATGGGTCATTTTGAACAACATCAGAGAGTACTAAGCACAAGCGGTGGGAGAGCTGCTTAGATCTATAAGGCATGGGTGAACCTGAAAATTCAAAAGGAAACATTTAAAAGATCTGTAGCTGTGGGAGGACAGGAATAGAAATATAGCAGGAGTGGACATCCTGGGGCCTTCTATACCTTTTGAGGCTTAATTCCCATTAGACCTGACCAACAAGGCCACTGGCAAAGGATTTGGAGAATTACAGTTCAAACATCTACAGGAATACAGCTTGTAACATCCTCAGAGAACACAGCCTGATAAAATCTCTGTCAAGCATGCAGATGGAGCACGCCAAAGCAAAAACAGAGCTTGCTTTTGATTTCCTGGAACGTGAAAAGAGTCCTGCAGTCTGGGTGGTGTGGAGGGGAGACTTGGCAGCTGTCAAAAGGGGACACTTAGAGTCACTGGCCTTTGGACCACACAAGTTGCTACAACTAAGTTGGGAAAAAGAGTGTTGGCACCAAAAGGGTACAGGTTTGGGTTGGTTGTAGTAAGTAATAAACGGTGAGGAGGAATGAGTTGAAAAATGTACGGAAAGTTATGGAGTCTGGAAGACCCATGTCCCCTCATTGGGAGAAGGGGAAAACTGGCTGGATTGGCACAACACGTTGAACTTCTGTTTAGCCACGTTTAAGCCCGGAGTGTTG